GGGCATCTGAACCAGACCACAGAAGAGGAGCTGGATTCAGCCAATCAAATGCGTCTGCTGAAGGAGGTGGAGTCCATGTTGGAAACCATCAGAGCTGTCAACCTGACGGCTGCCAGCATCTCAGCCAATCAGGAGCTCAGGTGTGTTTTGTGTTTGAGAAATAAAAGCAGTTTGACTTTTCTACGTTTAGTTTGACCGCCCGCCCTCTCTCTCTCTCTCCCTGCAGCCTCGCACAGCCTCTCCTCACCTCGCTGCAGGTGGACTTCCTGTCCAGAAAGGTGGCGGTGGACAACAGGCTCCGCCCCCTTTCTGCTGCTCTCACCGCTGGCATGGAAACACTGCAACACACGCGCACACACCTGAGCGAGGCAGCAGAACGAAACACAGACACACACACTCTGCTGGACGCCACACACACTCTACTGCTCCACTACCAGGTGAACACACACACACATAAATAAAGGTATTTAACCTGCTGTGATGATGTCACACTGCACCCGTCGAGGTCGTCTCTGATGTAATGATGTAACGGCGTCTCCTCCCTGCGTCAGTCTCTCCATCAGAACCTGACTCAGGTGTGTCTCTCTGTGGACGGCGTGATGGAGGACAGCCAGATGCTGCTGGACGACACTGTCAGCCTGACGGAGGAATTGACCAACACCACCGCGGTGAGAGCCTCTGCTGACGCCGACGCCGACCGTATGACTCGTGACTCTGTACTAACACACCTGTGTGTGCAGCAGGTGGAGGTGTTCAGCGGGCAGGTGGATCAGTGGCGCCCCCTGCTGGCGAAGCAGGTGGACACTTTGGTTGTTGGACTGAGAAAGACGGACGCTCCGGAGAACGTTTACCGTGCAGAAAGCCACGCCCAGCTGCTGCAGAGCCACGCCCACTCCCTGCACAGGTAACCGTGCAAGTGTGTGCGTGCGCATGTGCGTGTGTGCGCGTGATAAAAATTAACCTCGCCGTCTTCTCTCAGGTCTCTGTCGTCAGTGTGTAACGTTTCTCAGAACGGTAGCCGATTGGGTCAGCTGGACAGGGACATCACAGAACGTGTTGACTATGCCCAGCAGGCGGCCTCGATCGCCCGCGTCTCCGCCTCCCTCGCTCTCAACATGGTAAGCGTGTGAAGACACACCTGTGTTACGCAGGTAAACTGGAGAGACACTGCCGTCACCTGACATGTTGACGTGTGCCTGCACGGATCTGATTGGCCAATGCAGCATTTTTGCTCAATGACATCACACATTGACACCCAGTTGAGCCAGCCTTCTGTGTTTCAGAGCGTCCAATCAGAGCAGCCGCTGTCAGAGGAGGGCGGGGCCAAGCTGAATGTCAGCTGTGCTCTTCTAGAAGAAAGTCGACGAATCAACGAGACGGCTCAAGGTTAGTGTCCGGCGTCCATGTTGGAGCGCTGAGGAGGCTACGACCTTCCTCACATGAACACGTGTCTCCTCATGGTGTCCAATGACTTCACCTCGCCGTGTCCGCGGTCTCTCTGTCTGTCTTCCAGTCCTGCAGCTGGATGTCTCGAGGATATACAGTAGACTGGGATTGGTCAGAGAGAGTGTCCGGAACTCCAGCCTCCTCCTCCGTCAGCCAATCACAGAGCTGCAGAGTCTCTCTAACGGTGAGATGGTGTTTCAGGCTCCGCCCCCTCACGTATCAGTAATTTACCCTGTCGATCTGTCTGTACCGATCCATACGATCCTGTCCGTCAGGTTCGTCCGTGGCGCTGCAGCAGGTGCAGCTTCAGGCGGCAGCGGCGAGCTCCGGCCTGCAGGAGGCGCTGCAGCGGCTGCACAGACTCAGACAGCAGCTGCGGGATTCTTCTTCTGTGGTGGAAAACACCAACAACACAGTGAGGGAGACCAACCAGCTGGTGACTCGCACTCAAGCCGCAGGTCAGTCACCAACGCTCATTAAGATCGACCGTATAAAGACGACAGACGTGTTCACTTCCTGTTTCTTGTGTGCTCAGCCAATGAGATGCAGCATAAGCTGGAGGAGGCGGAGCGTCGTACAGAGCGCCTGATGGACCGGATAAAGCCACTGAGCATGCTGGGAGAAACACTGAGCCGGAATCTGTCTGACATCAAAGAGCTGATCGATCAGGCCAGGAGGCAGGCCGCCTCGGTACATAGACACACTCACAAGTACACACTGGGGAGTACACACACTGGGGAGTACACTTAGAGAAGTACACACTGGGGAGTACACTTAGAGAAGTACACACTGGGGAGTACACACACTGGGGAGTACACTTAGAGAAGTACACACTGGGGAGTACACTTAGAGAAGTACACACTGGGGAGTACACACTGGGGAGTACACTTAGAGAAGTACACACTGGGGAGTACCCATAGAGAAGTACACTGGGGAGTACACGCTGGGGAGTACACTTAGAGAAGTACACACTGGGGAGTACACACTGGGGAGTACACATAGAGAAGTACACTGGGGAGTACACTTAGAGAAGTATACACTGGGGAGTACACACACTGGGGAGTACACTAGTGAGTACACACTTGGGAGTACACACTGGGGAGTACACTAAGAGAAGTACACACTGGGGAGTACACATAGAGAAGTACACACTGGGGAGTACACTTAGGGAAGTACACACACTGGGGAGTACACACACAAGTACACACACACAAGTACACATAAAGAAGTACACACAAGTACACATACAGAAGTACACACACTGGGGAGTACACATGGAGAAGTAAACACACACAGAAGTACACATAGAGAAGTGCACTCACACAAGTACACTTACAGAAGTACACACACAAGTATACTTACAGAAGTACACACTGGGGAGTACACACACCCAAGTACACTTACAGAAGTACACACCCAAGTACACTTACAGAAGTACACACAAGTACACTTACAGAAGTACACACTGGGAAGTACACACACACACAAGTACACTTACAGAAGTACACACTGGGGAGTACACACACACAAGTACACTTACAGAAGTACACACTGGGGAGTGCACACTGGGGAATACACACTTGAGAGTACACACTGGGGAGTACAAATACAGAAGTACATACTGGGGAGTACACATACAGAAGTACACACTTGGAAGTACACATACAGAAGTACACACTGAGGAAGTACACGTATAGAAGTACACAATGGGGAGTACACATACAGAAGTACACACTGAGGAAGTACACGTATAGAAGTACACAATGGGGAGTACACATACAGAAGTACACACTTGGAAGTACACACTGAGGAATACACACTTGAGAATACACACTTGAGAGTACACAGTGGGGAGTACACATACAGAAGTACATACTGGGGAGTACAAACTGGGGTATACACACTAAGGAGTACACACTGGGGAGTACACACTGGGGAGTACACATACAGGAGTACACATACAGAAGTACACACTGGAGAGTACACTGGGGAGTACACAAACAGGAATACACATACAGAAGTACACACACAAGCACTTACAGAAGTACACACACAAGTATACTTACAGAAGTACACACTGGGGAGTACACACACCCAAGTACACTTACAGAAGTACACACAAGTACACTTACAGATGTACACACTGGGAAGTACACACACACACACAAGTACACACTGGGGAGTACACACACCCAAGTACACTTACAGAAGTACACACAAGTACACTTACAGAAGTACACACTGGGAGGTACACACACACACAAGTACACACTGGGGAGTACATACACACAAGTACACTTACAGAAGTACACAATGGGGAGTGCACACTGGGGAATACACACTTGAGAGTACACACTGGGGAGTACACATACAGAAGTACATACTGGGGAGTACACACTGGGGAGTACACATACAGAAGTACACACTGGGAAGTACACATACAGAAGTACACACTGAGGAGTACACACTGGGGAGTACACACTGGGGAGTACACACTGGGGAGTACACACTGGGGAGTACACACACACAAGTACACTTACAGAAGTACACACTGGGGAATACACACTTGAGAGTACACACTGGGAGTACACATACAGAAGTACATACTGGGGAGTACACACTGGGGAGTACACATACAGAAGTACACACTTGGAAGTACACACTGAGGAATACACACTTGAGAGTACACAGTGGGGAGTACACATACAGAAGTACATACTGGGGAGTACAAACTGGGGTATACACACTAAGGAGTACACACTGAGGAGTACACACTGGGGAGTACACATACAGAAGTACACACTGAGAAAGTACACGTATAGAAGTACACAATGGGGAGTACACATACAGGAGTACACATACAGAAGTACACACTGGAGAGTACACTGGGGAGTACACAACAGGAATACACATACAGAAGTACACACAAGCACTTACAGAAGTACACACACAAGTATACTTACAGAACACACTTACAGATGTACACACTGGGAAGTACACACACACACAAGTACACACTGGGGACACACACCCAAGTACACTTACAGAAGTACACACAAGTACACTTACAGAAGTACACACTTGGAGGTACACACACACACAAGTACACACACCCAAGTACACTTACAGAAGTACACACAAGTACACTTACAGAAGTACACACTGGGAGGTACACACACACACAAGTACACACTGGGGAGTACACACACAAGTACACTTACAGAAGTACACAATGGGGAGTGCACACTGGGGAATACACACTTGAGAGTACACACTGGGGAGTACACATACAGAAGTACATACTGGGGAGTACACACTGGGGAGTACACATACAGAAGTACACACTGGGAAGTACACATACAGAAGTACACACTGAGGAGTACACACTCAGGAGTACACACTCAGGAGTACACACTCAGGAGTACACACTCAGGAGTACAAACTGGGGTATACACACTGAGGAGTACAAACTGGGGTATACACACTGGGGAGTACACACTGGGGAGCACACACTGGGGAGCACACACACAAGTACACTTACAGAAGTACACACTGGGGAGTACACACTTGAGAGTACACACTGGGGAGTATACACTGGGGAGTACACACTGGGGAGTACACACTGGGGAGTACAAACTGGGGAGTATACACTGGGGAGTACACACTGGGGAGTACACACTGGGGAGTATACACTGGGGAGTACACACTGGGGAGTACACACTGGGGAGTATACACTGGGGAGTATACACTGGGGAGTACACACTGGGGAGTACAAACTGGGGAGTATACACTGGGGAGTACACACTGGGGAGTACACACTGGGGAGTACAAACTGGGGAGTATACACTGGGGTGTATACACTGGGGAGTACACACTGGGGAGTACACACTGGGGAGTATACACTGGGGAGTACACACTGGGGAGTACACACTGGGGAGTACACACTGGGGTAGACTAAGGTTCAGCTTTTTTATCTCATTGTTTGTTAAGTCATACGATACTAGTTGGCTTGGAGGGATGGCGCCCTGAACCGTCTGCCTGATGGTAACAGTTCTTACTCGCCAAACAGGGACGCCTGCCCCCTCTTCACCTGTCAGGACTCGCAGGGCGCCGTTATGCTAGCTGCTGTTCTCCGGGAACCTTCCTGGACATCCTTTGTTTTATTATCGTCGACTCTAAACAGCCAGAAAATCCATGAATCTCTGTAAATACTTCACGTGAAATAAGAATAACCTGTCTCTGTTTGTCCACCGAGAGACGTCACAGTCACATGATGATGATGATAATGATGATGTTGATGATGTCATCAGATCAAGGTGGCGGTCCAGGCGGACAGAGACTGTGTTCGGTCCTACAGACCACCCACTGAGTCCAGTAACTTCAACACTCTGAGTCTGATCCTGAAGACGTCCAGTCCAGATAACCTGCTCTTCTACCTGGGCAGCAACACCACGGTACTACACACAGTACTGCACACAGTACTACACACCGTACTGCACACAGTACTACACACCGTACTGCACACGGTACTGCACACAGTATTGCACACGGTACTGCACACGGTACTGCACACGGTACTGCACACGGTACTACACACGGTACTGCACACAGTACTGCACACAGTACTACACACAGTACTACACACGGTACTACACACAGTACTGCACACGGTACTACACACAGTACTGCACACAGTACTACACACAGTACTACACACAGTAATGCACACAGTACTACACAAGGTACTGCACACGGTACTGCACACAGTACTACACACAGTACTACACACAGTACTACACACGGTACTACACACAGTACTGCACACGGTACTACACACGGTACTACACACACACTGCGTACTGCGTAGTAGTCTGCAGTATGAAACTGTTAAATATATTATTTTGCAGTACTCTAGGCCGGGCTTTACTGGTTTCCGGTTTTATGGTGCTTTCAGACCAAAAGTGAAGCGAGCGTTCGGGGCGGTGAGTTTACAGAAGCGACACGAAGGGGGCAGGGCCGGCGATGCGAAGGATTTCGCGTGAGCATGTCGCTGAGTCGCGAAAGCCTATCAGTGTTGAGATTGTCCGTACGTCACCGACGGCTTCAGAGCGATGTGTGGAGAGGGAGAGCTGAGAGCTGCTAAACTTGGGGGAGAGGAGCAGGAGCAGCGCTGCAACCTTTGGACAAATAAAACCCGTAGTCGGACTGGATTCTGCTCTGACAGCTACGCCGTTTGCTCGCGGGAGGAGCTCAGAGTAAACTGCTTTTATTAAATTAGCTTTTTACTTTAGTTTTTGGGATTAAAACGTTGATTTATCTTCACTGGAGCTTCTCAGCAGCTTCCGTGCACATCCGGTTCTAGTGTTGTTAGCGTCGTTAGCTCTGTCGGACTACGACTTCATATTTATATAAAAACCGGACAAAGCTGGACGTTACTGGGAGAAAAGAGAGCGAGCAGGTTGAACTACCTGGTGAGCTCAGAAACGTTATGCCAGCTGTCGTTGTACTTTACTGTGACCAAGTTAGCGTAGCATAGCCCTGATCGATCCGAACTCCATTCAGAAAACAAACATTTTAGAAGCTGCTGTCCTGCTGACAGACCTGACAAAGCATCAGTTCACATGTTTAATTAAATTCGCGTTTGGTCTGAATGCGGCATTAGAAAGCATGGTGGGACACAGCTGGCGAGGTAGACTGGTCCGATGCACACTGCAGATTGTGCTTTGTTTGCGTACTACTACATTTAGCCTACATCAGTACACACTGCTAGTACAGCAGGCAGTTTCGAGTACAGCTCGAGCCTTTGTTTCTGTCTGCTGTGTTCAGGTGGACTTCCTGGCAGTAGAGATGCATGATGGGAAGGTTTCCCTGCTGTGGGACGTGGGTTCGGGCAGCACCAGACTGGACTTTCCCGGACTGGACATCACCAACAACAGATGGACCAGAATCAACGCTACACGGTAAACACACCTGAACATCAACGGCTTTCGACCACTTCACATGAGCTTCCTCAGCAGATGAAGGCGTGCAGGCGTCATGTGACTGTACACGGTTTCACTTCATCCTGATCACAACGAACCTTTGAGCCAGTATGGACCAGGAGTCCTGGACCAGCTGAGGAAGACCATGTAATGTGGTGGAAAGCTCCTGATCGGCATCTAAACTACTTCTTCTAAAAACTAACAAGATTTTCAGGTCGTCATTTCACAAAAGCTGAAATACGCCTCCTTCTTGGCCAGCTGTCCCTCTATTTCACATGTACGCATCACACCGAAACGTTTGGTAGGCTATGTGACGATGTCATGTGATGATGTCATGGCATTGGCAGGTTTGGGGCCCACGGCGCTCTGTCGGTCCATCAGCTGGAGTCCGAGTCGGCTCCGCTGCCCACGGTAACAGCGACATCACCGGGACCGTCACGGGTTTTAGACATCGACAGAAACACGGTGATCCACATCGGAGGACTGGGAGCTCACACTCAGGTAACACACACACACACACACATCAGGGGTCCAGGTGTGTGTGGAAGAGTACAGGTGATAACTGTGTGTGTGATGTCAGAGCCCACAGCGCTGAGGACCTCCACCTTCCAGGGCTGTCTGGGTGAAGCATCGCTCAACGAGAGAAACGTCGGTCTGTGGAACTACGACAGCCGAGAGGGAGAGTGTGGAGGCTGCTTCAGCAGGTACGAACACAGGTGTATGACTAACAGAACACCTGGAGGACCACAGGTGTAGAATCTGTGAGCACACCAACTGGCCCCCACTTCCAGTGGGAGGGGCTGGAAGTTAAATCTGCTGATTTCCAATGGAACTTCTGAATGGTATTTTTCAGACCTGACAAATCTAAAGGTCTAACTCGTCTGTCTCCACCTGTCTGTCTCTACCTGTCTGACTCTTAGTCCCCAGGCGGAGGAGACGTCCTTCCACTTTGATGGATCTGGATTCTCATTGGTTCAGAAGTCTCTGCGAGCAACCTCCACCTCCATCGTCCTACTGTTTAAAACGCTGTCTCCGGGCGGATTGCTGCTGTACCTGGCCTCCAACAACACGGTATGACACACATCACTGGTTTTGTTGAGGCTCTTATTGTGAAGCAGATACAGACATGACCTCACTTCCTGTCTCTTGCAGAGGGACTTCTTGTCCATGGAGCTGGTGGAGGGGCGTGTCCGTCTGACCTATGACCTCGGCTCAGGAGCTCTGATGCTGACCTCCACCAAGAAGTACAACACAGGAGTCTGGTACAAGATCACGCTGCAGAGGAACAAACGCAAAGGTGACCTGCTGCAGGCTCACAGTGATCAGTCGTTCCTATCAGTAAACAATCGTTCCCGTCAGTGATCAATATGTCTTACTGGTAAACAATCGTGAGTTACAAAAAAAGTCAATGCAAAGACGCGTAGAGAAGTGACACGAAGGGGGCAGGGCCGGCGATGCGAAGGAATTCGCGTGAGCATGTCGCTGAGTCGCGAAAGCCTATCAGTGTTGAGATTGTCCGTACGTCACCGACGGCTTCAGAGCGATGTGTGGAGAGGGAGAGCTGAGAGCTGCTAAACTTGGGGGAGAGGAGCAGGAGCAGCGCTGCAACCTTTGGACAAATAAAAACCCGTAGTCGGACTGGATTCTGCTCTGACAGCTACGCCGTTTGCTCGCGGGAGGAGCTCAGAGTAAACTGCTTTTATTAAATTAGCTTTTTACTTTAGTTTTTGGGATTAAAACGTTGATTTATCTTCACTGGAGCTTCTCAGCAGCTTCCGTGCACATCCGGTTCTAGTGTTGTTAGCGTCGTTAGCTCTGTCGGACTACGACTTCATATTTATATAAAAACCGGACAAAGCTGGACGTTACTGGGAGAAAAGAGAGCGAGCAGGTTGAACTACCTGGTGAGCTCAGAAACGTTATGCCAGCTGTCGTTGTACTTTACTGTGACCAAGTTAGCGTAGCATAGCCCTGATCGATCCGAACTCCATTCAGAAAACAAACATTTTAGAAGCTGCTGTCCTGCTGACAGACCTGACAAAGCATCAGTTCACATGTTTAACAAATCGCATCATGTTGTCGTTATTTCAGCATCAGTTTGATCCGTTTGTTGCTCTTAATCACAGCAACATGTTCACTTTGGGTTCACACAGCTGGAGTAACGGCCAGTTGTGTTTATTCACTTTATCGCGTTAAAATCGCCTTCACGCGTTGTGTGTGGACACACCGAGTCTCCCTAGTTCTGCTGTAATCCTGCTGTAATCCTACCGTAGTCTTCAGTAGTCATATTGTAGTTCTACTGTACTCTACTATAATCTATTCTACTGTAGTTCAGTGTTGTACACCTGCTGTCAGGTGTCAGGAGACGGGGCTAAACTCACCGATGTCAGTTTTCTACCAGATGGTGTTACCTGCTGTTACTGCAGAGTATAGTTAGGGTTCGAGAGACAAAAAATCATCATCAGAGGGTTGCGCGTAGGCTCTGTGCGGACGTCCGCGTGCCTCCCGTTTTTTATGACCGACTACGCTACCAGGACACCAACTGATGTACTGCGCATGTGTGATACGAGTCCGCCAAGCTGAAGTAGTCCACGTCCGTGGTGTCTGTGCAGCTGTACGTGTCGAAGTATATCGAGGCTTAAAGCTACTAACGACTACTGTTACTGCAGAGTTTGGTAGTATTAATATTACTAACATATATTAATAATACTACTGTTCTTGTTCCTGACGCTGCTGCTGTGTGTCCAGGTTACCTGTCCATCATGGCAGCCGACCATCATCAGAGAAGGAGGTGTGGAGGCGGAGTCTCCTGGGACGGCCTCTGACATGAACCGCTCCGACCTCGACCCCATCTACATCGGAGGATATCCTCCAGACCAATCAGGTGAGTCTGTGATGTCAGCAGGTGATGTCCACACCTGTCTGTCTGACTGTTTCCATCCGTCTGTCTGTTTCCACCCGTCTGTCTGTCTGTTTCCACCCGTCTGTCTGTTTCCACCCGTCTGTCTGTTTCCACCCGTCGTCTGTTTCCACCGTCTGTCTGTTTCCACCCATCTGTCTGTCTGTTTCCACCCATCTGTCTGTTTCCACCCGTCTGTCTGTTCCCCCGTCTGTCTGTCTGTTTCCACCCGCTGTCTGTTTCCACCCGTCTGTCTGTCTGTTTCCACCCGTCTGTCTGTTTCCACCCGTCTGTCTGTTTCCACCCATCTGTCTGTCTGTTTCCACCCATCTGTCTGTTTCCACCCGTCTGTCTGTTTCCACCCGTCTGTCTGTCTGTTTCCACCCGTCTGTCTGTTTCCACCCGTCTGTCTGTTTCCACCCGTCTGTCTGTCTGTTTCCATGTCTGTCTGTTTCCACCCGTGTCTGTCTGTTTCCACCTGTCTGTCGTTTCCACCCGTCTGTCTGTCTGTTTCCACCTGTCTGTCTGTTTCCACCCGTTCCACCTGTCTGTCTGTTTCCACCCGTCTGTCTGTTTCCACCCGTCTGTCTGTTTCCACCCGTCTGTCTGTTTCCACCTGTCTGTCTGTTTCCACCTGTCTGTCTGTTCTACCCGTCTGTCTGTCTTTTTCCACCGGTCTGTCTGACTGTTTCTACCTGTCTGTCTGGTTGGTAGGCGACAGGTGGTCTCCAGGTCGTACGTGGGCTGTATAAAGAACGTGGAGATCGCTCGGTCCAACTTTGACCTGCTGAGAGACGCGTACGGAGTGAGGAAGGGCTGCGTCCTCGAGGTACAGTATCTAATAAATAATGGCATGATTTATTATTATTGCTCCAGCGTTTTCACATGCTGACCTTCCAGTACTATCCTCTGTCCCAGGCGGTGCGCAGTGTGTCGGTGTTGCCCGGACGCTTCGTTCAGCTCGCTCCTCGCTCGCTCGGTCAGGAGGCGGAGTCTCTTCTCCTTCTACTCCAACAACCAATCAGGAGTCCTGCTGGCTGCCTCAGTAACGACCGAACAGAGACATGTGAGACAGACGGACAGACGTCATGTCATGACACACCTGTACACCAGGTTTATCACGTGACACATCATGTGACACACCTGATTATTTGTGTGCAGCATTTGTCAGTGCACCTGGTCTCAGGAGCGTTGGAGGCGGAGCTCGGTGAGGTGGGTGGCCCCAGTCGGAGGGTGATGGTGGTGAAACCTGATGGATCCTTCAGTGACGGAACAAGACACTCTGTGATCATCACTATCAACAGGAAGTAGGTGGAGAGAGACACCTGCCTCACCTGCCTCACCTGCCTCATCAGTATTGATTAAAGTGTCACCTGTCTGCTCTCAGGTCTCTGTCCCTGCAGGTGGATGAGGAACACATGAAGTCCGTCTCTCTGTTTTCTGGAGGATTTTCCCGTCTGTCTCCAGCCTCTTTCTTCATTGGTGGGCTGCCATCAGGGGAGGAGACTCGTCTACCAATCAGATTACAGGATGTGTCCAGGTGGTTCAGAGGTTGCATCCAACACCTGGTGGTGGGCAGGGCGTAAGTCACACACTGGCACACACAGACACACACACACACACACACACTCACACAATTTTCAGTCTTTCTGGTTGATTGACTCTCTTGATTGGTGGCTGCCACCAGGCTCATTGACCTATCAGGAGCCGTGAGGTACACAGGTGTGGAGCTCGACAGTTGCCTATTGGAGGAGAGAGTTGGGGGGGTGGTGCTTCCTGATGATCAGGGTTTAGAACCAACTCCTGACCCCGACCACCTGCCTTTAGCCCCGCCCACACACCTGAGCGCCTTCACACCTGGAGCGCTGACGGTATTCAATGTTTATTGATTTTTGATAATTGATTGTTGTTACTATGGTTACTGTGTGAATATTTGTTATTGGTGTTATTGACTATTGGTCACTAATTACTGGTTATTGATGTGTGTGATGCAGTGCGTGTCGGAGGCGGAGCCACCTTCCTGCAGTCAGCGGCTCAGTTTGGTTGTCCAAACACAGTCAATGATCTCATCATCAACCCCGCCACAGTCAGAAAGAGGTAGGTCTCCATGACAACAGGGCCGTGGTCAGAGTGGGGCGGGGCTATTGTAACAAGGGGCGGGTCTGGCTCGGCCAGTCGTCTGACTGTGTTGTGTCTTCCTCGTCTTCAGTGTGTCTCTCAGGT